GGTTGGACGTCGAGGCGGGCGTCCTCGGCCCGAGGAGAGACGCGGAGTACGGACTCGACGCGGACGTAGGAGCAATTAGTCGCGACGCCGACGGATACGGGCTCGACGCGCAGGTCGCGCCGGCGCCGCGTCGCGTCTCTTTCGGCGGCGCGACCGTCGCGGAGGTGCCGCCGAGAGGCGCGGCGCCCGGGGGAGGATTGGCGTCGTTGGCGGGGCCGCCGCCGTCGCCGCCGCCGTCGCCGCCGCGGTCGCCGGAGCGAAGGACGCCGACCGGGGGCGCCGCGGGGGCCGCGCCGCTGGGGCGGGCGGCGGGGGCGGGCGGCGGCGCGCCGAGGGCGGGGGGGCGAGGGTTGGCGTCGTTGGGCACCGTGCCGTATTAGAGCGCGCGGCGTCTTCGTTTGTGCCGCCACCGTAGTGTGCGTTTTTATCAGGTTTTTATGCGCTGAGTCACCTTCTTTGTCAGACATTCGCATTCCGTCGCGCGCGCTCGCGTCCTCCGCGCCGGCGCGCACGGCGTGGCACGCGCGCGGCGATCGCGCCCGAGAACGACTGAGAGCTCATGGACGAGCGCGCGGCGACGACGCCGTCCGCCGAAGGTGAGACGCGCGCGAAGCGTTCTCGATCGCCCGAACGCGGATAACGATATTTATCTTCACGCCCGTCGGCATCACGTCAGACGCGGGCGCTCACGTCGCTCCCTACCTCGCTTCCGCAGCAGACTCGCAGATGACGTCGCGCAAGCCGAATCGCGGAAGTAAAGTCGCGCCCGGGAACGAGTCCGCGGGCGGAGACGAAACCGAGACCAAAGCCAAGCCCGAGGACGGCACGCGCGCGAAGCAGGAGCGCTCGCTGAGGCTGAAACAAAGGATCGACCGAGCGAAACTCCGATTCTGCCTCTGGCTGACGCTGGTGTTCCTCTTCTGGTCCGTGTACGTCGAATACCGCGTACACGAGGAGCTGAAAAGCGACGGTTGCCTCGGAAAAATTAACGAGTTAACCTGCCCCGCGCTCGCGGAGTACGCCACGGTGCAAGATGAGATGTGCGAGCACAATCACAAGATGAAGGCGGTGTCCACGAGCGGGTACGTGCTCGCGGTGACGCTGTTGCTTCAATTAGCGCTGTTGACCGCGTCGATCGATCTGCAGCACGCGGCGGAGATCCACGAGACCCCGGACGAGCTCCAGAAGAGAAGCGCGAAGCTTCCGATGGACGCGTGGATCGCGTTGTTATCCCCGCAAGTCGCCGTGCTCGTGACGCAATGGAAGCACGTCGACTTCAGCGGTGGATTTGGATCTTTCGTCGCGACCACGGGCATTTTCGCCGTGGCGATCCTCGGGATCGTCCTCGGACGCGTTTACCTGCGGAGAGTTCGGCGAAACCTGCACGAAGCGCACGGGCCGATGGCGTCGCGTTGCGTGAAGCACCACCTCATCAAGCCGAACCTCGCGGTACTCGCCGTGGAGTTGTACTGCGTCGTGCACGTGTTCATCGCGCTGGACTTTCTAGGGGACGATCGATACCGATGGATTCAATCCGTGGACGCGAACCCGCGGACGTGTTACTCGTACTATTACAAATCCGGGCTATTCCAAGGCAGCATGTTCGTGTGCTTTCACGTGACGTTGACGCTGCTCGTGTACTTTTATCTCGCCGCGTCTGGCGCGATACACGTAGCGTCGACGGCGAAGAGCTCCGGCGGCGAAGGCGAAGGCGAAAGCGAAAGCGAAAGCGGGGATAAATCTAAATACATCGGAGCCGCGATGGTGATCGGTAAGCAAATGGCGCAGCTCGCGTTCATGGTCGTCACCGGGTTGACGATCGGGTATTTCAGCGCGTTGCACACGGAGACGATATTCAGCAACGTCGAGTGTGCGTTTTACGCTTTTTTATTCGTCACGTTATGGGTCTTCGTTATCGCTGGCATCATGCTCATCCGGAGTAACGACGCCGCCGTGAAAATGAGGAACCTTCTCCCTCAGACGAACAAGAAGTATCACGTGTTTTTATCGCACATGCAAAACAAAGGGCAGATGCAATGCGAAGTCATCGATAAAGAGATGAGAGAGCGCGGGGTAATCTCATGGAGGGACCAAAACCAGAAAATGGGCGAACTAGACCAGGAAGCGATGGCGCAGGGCATCAAGGATAGCATCGTGTATCTCCTATTCTTCGCCAAAGGCACTTTAAGGGAATCTTGGATGGTGCGATTCGAATTGAAAACAGCGTTACGTTTGAAAAAGCCCGTCATCGTCTTGTTTGAGACAAAACAAGAATTTGGCGGACACGGCGACCCGAGCGTGTTCATCACCGAGACCAAAGAGGTAGGGAACGGCTCGCATCCTCTCCCTGGCCCTGATCCACTCGGGGCGTACGGTAAAGATATCTCCAATTACTTGTGGACCCCAAACGCGTTCGGGATGCGAAGGCAAGCGCAAGAGGCGGAAGTGCTTTACAACAACTTGGCTGATAGAATCGCCAAGCTCGGCGAAGAGGTGGTGAGAGTTGGCAAGAAACGCTCGCAGCCAGGACGAAGCTGAGCTAGTTTTTACGAAGGTAACAATTCTCAAATCTGATCGACGCGGAGTTCTCACCGCGCGCGGCGGCGGCGGCAGGCACCCCGCGCGTCCGCGGGGCGCCACCCGCGCGTCGCGTCCGTCCAAGCCCGCGCTTCGTCGTCGTCGTCGTCGTCGTCGTCGCGAGGGGACGCGAACGCCGTCGTCACACAGATCGATTCGTCGCCCCCCCCGACGTGAGAGGAAGCATCATGTCCGTCGCGCACGCGACGGACCTGTCCACCTCCGTCCTCGACCTCGAGTACGTCCGCGCGAACGCCGCGCGCGCCATCGCGCGCGCGCTCAAGTCGGTGCGCGGCCGCAAGGCGCTCGTCCTCGACCCGCTCCTCCTGACGCCGCTGCAGCGGCTGTGCAACCTGACGCGGCTGACGCGCGAGTGCGACGTCGATCGGACGTATTCGCTCGAGGGCGGGACCGTGGAGACGCGATGCGCGGAGATCGTCTTCGTCGTCAAGCCGAGAGTCGCGCTCATGAAGACGCTCGCGGAGGTGGTGCGCGCGGTCCGAGAGGACGCGGAGCGCGCGAGGAGGGCGCACGCGCGGAAGCACGCGGCGCGGGACCTCGCGGGGAACCTGCACGCGGTGGGCGCGAACCTCCTCGAGTCCTTGACGTCGTTGTCCAAGACGACCGCGGACGTCGTCTCGTCGTCGGGGTCGGGGTCGGGCGCTTCGAACGTCCCGCCGCCGCCGGCGACGCCGTCGTTCACGGTGTTCTTTCTTCCGTGCGAGACGGAGAAGTGCCTGGAGACGCTCGAGCGCGCGTTCGTGCTCAACTACCTCCGCGTCGGGGCGATACCGTGGACGCGCGCGATACCGCTCGAACGCGACGTGATTCTCGTCGACGGCGGCGGGGACGAGCGCTGGCGGTCGGGCGACGGCGGTCCGGGTCCCTCCTCGGTGCGTTCATTACACTGGTCCCCATACGACCGCGTCGGCGTGGTGAACGCTGATCCTTAAGGACTTTTGCCGGCGTGTCTCTCCGCGCACCCCTTGCTTTCAATCCCCGTCCTCGGCGCCTTTCAACTCCGCTTCTGACGCCTTTCAACTCCACCCCGGGTACGCGCAGTCGACGTCCACCGAAGCGCTGAAGCGACACGTGTTCAACGAGCCCTCCACGAGCGGTGATGGCGCGGGCGCGGGCTCGAGTGGTGGGAGCGGCGGGGGCGGCGCGGGCGGGTCCTCGGCGGACGCGGCGAACGGGGAGGGTATAACCGCCGTCGCGAGGGCGTTACACGACCTTCAGAGAGTCTTCGGGACGGCGCCCATCGTGAAAGGGAAAGGACGCCGCGCGGCGAAGGTATCCGAGGCGATGGAGCGGCTGCGGAGGGAAGCGCACGAGAAGGAGACCGCCGCGGAGGACGGCGACGGGATGTACGAGGACGGCGAGGAAGAAGGCGACGACGCCGCTACGGATGATATCAAAGAAGTAACGGACGGTCCGCGGCCGTTACCCGGCGGGTACCTCACCCCGGTGAACCCGCGCGTGGACGTCGTCGTCCTCCTCGACCGCGACGTCGACGCGGTGACGCCGCTGTGCACGCAGCTCACGTACGAAGGCCTCATCGACGAGATCATCGGGATCGAGAATGACGTCGCGGTGATCCCCGCGGAGGAAGACGAAACGTCGACCGTCGCGGAGGAAGACGGAACGCCGCCCGTCGCCAGACCGGAGGTTCGCGCGCGGCTCAACAGCAACGACGCGTTGTTTCGCGAGCTCCGCGACGTCAACTTCGGCCGCGCGTGCGATCTCTTAAAGATGAAATCCTCCTCCATGCGCGACGACTATCGCGTCATTAAAGAAGGCGAGATCGAGACGCAGGAGGTGAAAGCCATCGGCGGGTTCGTGCGCGCGATCAAGGGCAACATTCACGGCGTCGGCCTCGACCTGCACACGACCATCGCGAAGCACTTGTTGGACTCCACGCGCGGCGCCGACGAGCACGAGCGACGATTCATGTCCAGCCTCGAGATCGAGCGTATGTGCGTGGAGGGCAAGTCCGCGGACGCGTGCGTGGATAAGCTCGAGGAGATGATCGCGGCGAAGGAGAACGTGCGCCGCGTCGTCAGGCTTCTGGCGTTGATCTCCCTGTGCCACGGCGGCGTCGCCAAGGAGAGGGTGGACGCGTTGAAAAAAGCGATGTTTCAGTCGTACGGCGCCGCGGTGCTCATGCTGCTCCTCGCGCTCGAGCAGCGCGGGTACCTGCGACGGAAAGAGGACTGGCACGCCGCGAATAAGAAGTCGAAGGAGAGCGGCCACGGCGGACTCGGCGGGTTAACGCTCACGCGGCGAGCGTTTAAACTCGTCGCCGACGACGTCGACGTCGCGTCGCCGAAGGACGTGTCGTTCGCGTATTCGCACAGCGGGTACGCGCCGCTGTCCGTGCGCGTGTGCGAGCGCGCCGTCGACGGGCCGTGGAACACTGGAGGCGCGGCGGAGGCTGCGCTGAGAGAGCTCCCCGGGCCGGCGTTCGAGTACGCGCAAGGGTACGACGACGACGGCGCGCCCGCGGTCAAGGCGGCGAATTACGCAGGGTTCGAAAAGAAACGCGCGAGGGCGATCGAGCGCCAGGTCGCGGAGAGCGGCGGCGATGGCGATGGCGACGCCGCGCGCCGCGGCCAAGGCGGCGACGACACGCAGGGCGCGAGGGTCCCCGGCGCGTGGAGGGACCGACGCCCGGTCGTCCTCGTCGTCTTCCTCGGCGGCATCACGCGCGCCGAGGTGAGCTGCCTTCGGTTCGCGTCCGACTCGGTCGCGATGCGGCGCGGCGTGGACTTCGTCGTCGCGGCGACGAAGATCACGTCGGGGTGGGGCGTCGTGAGCGAGTTCATCGCGCCGGACGACGCGAACTTCGAGAGGATGCGCAGCCTGAAGGAGGAGAACGAGGCACGCGCCGGTTAGGATTGCGTAGTATATAATCGTTTTATCAGACTCAGTCGTTATTAGAGGGTTTTAGTAGCAAAATCGGGTCTAAAATCGGGTGGAAAATCGGGTCACCCCACCCGATTTTAGACCCGATTTTGCAACGACCCACCCGAATTCGGGTGAACCCACCCGATTTTAAAACCGGGTGGGTCAAAATCGGGTCTAAAATCGGGTGGGTACGAAACCTGAAATGACGGTTTAAATCGTCGCGTTTAAATCGTCAATGATGAGAGAGGAGAACTTTTTTTGTTGAAAGTTGCGTCCGGCCCTGTTCGAGCGCTGATTACGTCGTGATCATCACAGCGAGCGGTGCAATGTTTTTGAATGGGTCGACGCATCGTGGTGTTTCGAGTAAATTCTTTGCGGACGACGTCGGCGTTTGTGACGCTCCCGCGACTCCAGCAGCGCGCGAACGCCCGCGGGTACCCCTTTCAAACGACCGAAGGAGACCCCACCCGATTTTAGACCCGAATTTCGAAACGGGGTTTAGTTGCAAAATCGGGTCTAAAATCGTATGGCAAAATAGGGTGGGGTGACCCGATTTTCCACCCGATTTTAGACCCGATTTTGGCGCAACTAATAAAACCCACTATTAGGTGATGAGGTATTTCTCCTGTTGACTTCCTTCCGCTTCCGTTCGAACGCCCACGCCGCCGTCGCGTCACTCCCGACCGCGCGGTCATGGCGGGCTCGCTGATGGGGGAGTCCTCGGACGAGCCTCCCGCGCGAGGCGACGGCGACGAATCCGACGACGACGGCGTCGACGACGACGATCTCGATAACAAACTCATCGACGGCGTCTTCGCGTTACGTCTGGCCGATGAAGCGCACGCGAAGAAGACGCGCGCGCGCGAGGCCAAGGCGCTGTTCTGGCACGACGTCTACGTTTTCTGGACGACGGCGTTGATCGCGGTGCCGGCGCTCGTGACCGTGTTCGCGCTCGCGATCGGCGCGGCGGCCGCGGAAGCCGAGGGCTGGTCGTTCGAGAATGGCTATCTCTACGTCTTCTCGATGCTCTTGGACATGCCGATCTCGCTCTCGGACGAGAATCCGGAGACGAAAGGCGGGAAGGCGACGGACATCGTCGCCGCGTCGTGGGCGTGGGCGCTCCTCGGCGCGTTCATCGCTCTCGTGGGAAACTTGAACAGCATCAAACGTCTCGCCGCCGCCGTGGAAGGATTCCGCGTCGTCTGGGAGAAGTTTTTTTTGTGTCTGTGTCGCGTCGACCGGGACGCGGACGACGGGATGGAGGATCTGAACGCGGAGGAGTCGGCGAACATCGCGCGCGTGGACGAGCTCGTGGAGTCTGTGGACGCGCTCGTGAAGAAGCGCGCCGCGGCGGACGCGGCGTTCGTGGCGGCGGTGCGGAGGAAGGCGCGTTTTAATCTCCCGGCGGCGGCGCGAGACGCGCGCGCGCGACGGGAGAAGAGAAAGGACCGACGCGAGCTGTCCGCGGACGTCTTCACGCTCGTCGCGGGCGTGTTCTTCGTCGTCCCGTTGTTAGCCTTGGGGTTTTCGTGGGCCCTCGGCGCCGTGTTTGCGGAGATTGAAGGGTGGCGGACCAAGATCGGTTTCTATTACGTCTTGTCACAAGTGTTCTCCCGAAAAAATGTGTACAGGACAGGGCCAACGACAGAGCTCCCGACTGGTGGCCTCTATTATCTAAGACCGACGACGACGGACGGGAAGATATTCGGCGTGTTCATCGCGCTCCTCGCGTGGTCTCTGATCGGAACCTTCGTCGGTATCATCGTGAACCTGAACGTGATCTCGCGCTTCGTGCGCTGGCTCGAGAGCGGCGGGAACCGTTGGCGGCGACTGTTCAAGGTGAAGACGCCGCTCGAAGACTTCGAAGGCGACGCCTCGCGCGAGGACGACGTCGCGATGCGCGACGCCGCGCGAACGCTCGGGGAGATACACGCGGAGATGACGTCCGCGCGCGCGGAGCTCCTGGGGTTGATAGCCGCCGCGGGTATGCCGAAGAACAAGGCGTGACTCCACGACTATCGGGTCCGCCGTAGGCGTAGGTTGAGCTTTAGTTGATTGAATGAATGATCCTTTCGGTTTCGTCAACCTCCCCGCCGCTAGATGCTATCTCTGACTAGTTGTAGTGTGTATTCCTAGGGACGGCGGCGTCAGACGATGATGTGGTCTTCCTCCTCCGCCGCGGCGAACCCCCGCTCCCGCGCCTGCTGCTCCTTGTACTTCCGCGTCAGGTGTTTATTCTCCATTCGCCCCGGGCACGTGTTGGGATGCTTCGGCATCGCGCTCTCCAGGCCTTTCCTCGGCCGCGGCGGTATGATCCCCGCCTGGCCGAGCAGCCGCGCGACCGTGTCCGACGGCTGCGCGCCCACGGACAGCCAGTATCTGCGAGAGCGGGGAGGGAGGGGGTCGGAGGTCAGCGTCGACGAACGGAGGAACGCGCGACGACGCGACGATAACCCTAGACCGCGAGCGAGCGACGACGGGACGGTTCGACGGCGCGCGCGGGCGGGGTGCGCACTTTATGCGCTCGATCTTCAGCGACAGGTGCTTGTTCCCGTCCAGCTCTGCGCGGGGAGACGAACGAGGGGGACGCCGTCAGCGACGTCGATGGGGACGCGATGGGGGACGAGAGCGGCGCGATGGTGGAGGAGGAGGTTCGTTCGCCGCGCTCGCGCACCGGGCAACGGATCGTAGTGCCCGACGATCTCGAGGTGCTTCCCGTCCCTCGGCGCGCGCGCGTCCGCGACGTGGATGCGGTAGAACGGCATGTTCCGGTGCCCGCGGCGCGCGAGGCGGATGCGGACGACCATGGCGACCGGTCGCGACGCGGGGCGGGGCGGCGCGTTGTGGCCGCGTCGCGTCGAGCGAAAACGCGCACAGCTTGCACTCTGCTGCACGAAAACAAACGTCGTCCTCACCGAGGCGGTTTTTCGAACCACTGCCCCGGCGCGCGGGCACGCGCCCCGCCGCCGCGAGGCCATGGACGATCGACCGCTCAAGCGAGTGCGGAGCTGGAAGATCATCTACGATGAAGCCTTGAGACTCGCCGTCGACGATCCTCCGTCGGAGCTCGAACGCACGAGGAAGGAACTGGAAGCCACGAGAGCGAAGCTGGCGAGGACGGAGGCGACGCTCAAGACGACGGAGGCGACGCTCGCTCTGAAGACGAAGGTGGTGGACTCGTTCCTTCGACCTCAGCCCGTCGCGTTCGACGTCGACGGCAACGTCGCGTGCGTCGTGCTGTCGCACGTCTCGGACGTCAAGACCCGGCTCGCGCTCGCGCAGGTTGGGAAAGTCTGGCGCCGCGCGTCGAAGGAAGCCGCGTCGCTGCCCGCGTCTCTCGACTTCAGCCGCTGCAGTGGCTCGATGTATATGAAGGAAATGCACGTGCTAGACATCAATGGTCTGGACAAGCTCCCCGAGGCGCGTTTCATGAGCCTTCTGCGTGATGACATGGGCTCCCGCGATACATACCAGTATTTACTCGGACGGTACCACGGAAGGGCGTCGCGGTACGAAGAGGCGGCCGAGTGCTTTAAAAGCGCTCTTGCCGCGGGAGACCGCGATGCCAAATGCAGGCTCGGTGGGTGCTACTACTTGCTCGGTTGCAGGTACCACGCTGAGCCGAACGACATTAAGGCTGTGGAGGTTTGGCGCAAAGGAGAAGCCTTAGGTTATTCCTATTCCCTTTGCTACTTCCAACTCGGGAACTGTTACGAGATGGGCCACGGCGTCGCGAAAGATATGTTCAAGGCGGTCGAGTACTGGAAGAAGACCACGGTCGAAGGTATCCCGTCTATTGTCGCGCGTGCGAAGGAGAAGCTCGCGAGCTACGGTCACCGAATCTGAAAACTGCGCCGCACGAGATGCCGCGCGAACGTCACGCACGCACGAACGAACCAACGTCAACGTTTTACGATCCATATTCCGTCTTTCTCGCGTCGTCGTCGTCGTCTCGCTCTACATCAACAACTTCCACCGCTCCTGCGTCGCCTCGGGCGCGGACTCCAACAAAAAGTCCTTCAGCTCCAAGAAACTCCTCACCCCGATCGTCAACTTCCCCGCCTCGTCGTCCCCGCGACGCAGCCACCCTTCCTCGCACAGCCGTTTCAACGTCGCCTCTTTCTCGGTCTTGCTCATCTTCGCGACGGACTCCGTCTGCGCCTGCGTCAGTTGCGTCGCGCCGCCTTCGCCGCCCTGCGTCGCACCCTGCGTCGCGCCCTGCGTGCCACGTGATTCGATTCGATTGGTCAGCGCGTGATTTGATTTGATTTGATTTGATTTGGATAAATGCTGACGTGTGACGAAAGGAGTGGTGGTGGCTCGCGCGCACCGTCCATATCTGCGTCGCGTTGAGCGCGGAGATGACGTCCACGCCGCCGTTTTTCGCGTCGCACGTCGCGTCTTCCCTCAGGATCTCGTCCAGAACCACCCTGAACAGCGCGATCTGCTCCGGGGTCATCGTCGTCGCGAGCTTCGCGGAGTCGCTCGCGACCTTGTTCACGATGCCGAGGTACAGCTCGTCGTCGTCCTGATACTTCACGCGTCTCAGATCGAGGTCGAGGTATCCGAGCTGCGACGCGATCTCGCCCCAGAAGCGATCGAACCCGCGCGCGTCCGCCCTCGCGACGTCCGCGCCGACGATCTCCGCGTACATCGCGCGCGCGTCGGTCTCGCTCATGACGCACCTCGACATCATCGCCTGGAGGAAGACGTGCTGCGCCTGCGTGAGCTCCGTCTGCGTCGCCATCGTCGCTCGAGGTGGGGTGCCCAGTTTCGCGATCGATCGATCGATGGATCTATCTATCGATCGATCGATCGACGACGCGAGGTCGGATCTCGCGCGGACGCGGTGGGCGGGTCGCGGGCGACGCGGGCGAGCGACGCGACGCGCGGGCGCGGGCGGCGGCGCGAGCGCGCGGGCGAGGTGGGTGTGCGGCGACGCGTCTGCGCGCGGGCGCTACGAGGAGCCCTACAGTACTCTTTTGAAAGGGTGCCAGCACAGCAGAGCTCGGGTTTATTTTTTTCGCCCCTCCGAGGACGTCGAGGTAGGACGTCGTTTCCGAGGAGAGGACCTCCCGCGCCACTCGCCAGCGCGCCGCGCACCGATACGCACCGATGCGCGCCTTCTCCATCACGCGCGCGCCCGCGCTCCTCGCGCTCGCGCTCGCGCTCCTCGTCCACGCCGCGGCCGCGCGCGACGTCGCGACGAACGGCGACGGAACGCGCCTCCCTCTCGCGCGAGCCTCGGACCCGTCGTGTCCGTGGCTCGGAAACGTGCTCGACGCCGCGCGCGCGTCGCCGCTCGTGAAGGGCCTCGTGCAGCGCACGCGCATGGCCGCGCCGTTCGGGCCCGGGTCTTGGCCCGCGCCGCTCGAGGTGGACGACGCCGACGCCGCCGACGACGCCGACGACGCCGACCGAAGAAGGTTCGGCTGGAAGCGCGCGCTCGTGCTGGCGGCGAAAGCGCGCGTCGCCGACGCCGCCGCCGCCTCCGCGTGGCTTCCCAAAAACCTCCTGACGCTCTCCGACGACCTCGCCGCGACGGTCTTCATCGCGTGGTACCCGGACTCGTTCTGCTGCGGCGCGTACCACGAGGCCGCGATCGTGTTCGACGTGACGTACGGAGGCGGAGACGACGCGGTGGACGCGCTGCACTGCCCGTGGATGCTCGTGGATAAAGACCGGAGCATGATCGCGGGTCGCGAGATATTAGGCTTTCCGAAGAAGCTCGGCGAGTTTGCGTTCACGCTGACGACGGAGGACGGCGCGACGATCGACGTCTCGGATCCCTCCGTGGACGTGGCTGACGTCTTATCGAGAGCCGCGCGCGTGGACGCGAGCGTAACGCGCGAGGGCGCGACTTTGCTGAACATAACCGGCGCGCTCACGAAGAAAGGATTCGCGCGACGCGAACCGCTGCTGAAGGACGAACGCAACGTATTCCTTAACGTGCAGACGAACCACCCGCTGCCTCCCGCGGACGCGTCGAAGCCGAGAGACCCCGCGTGTCTGGGCAACCGACCGAGACTGCTGCAGTTCGTGTTCGACGAGGTGGTGACCGACGATACGTACGATTTGAAAGACGCCGCCGTCGCGTTGACGCAAACCAAAACTGATTCGATCGGCGCGCCGTTCGGGTTCAAAGGGATCGAAACCGGCGGCGACCTGGACGTCCTCGGGATGAAGATCGGCATCACGAACTTCTACACCGGTCTGGAAGGAACGCCGACGTTAGGGCCGACGGTCCCGAGCGGGTTCATCGAGAACGACGACGTGTACTGGCTCCGGTACCAGTGAGCGTCGACTCGACGACGAACGCGAGTTCGAGGCACGCTCTCGTCGACGCGAAAACGACGACACGCCGCGCAACTCATCACTCGCGACGTCTGCTAGCTAGTTAGCCCACCTACAGCACGCTACGTCGTCGTGCTATGATACTCCCCCCCAATTGCCTACTTTACCCACAAAATATCCGGGGTGTGCCACAACCGGAACGGCCGCGGCGGCGGCGCGTGCGTCGACAGCGAAAACGTCGACGCGCTTCGCACCGGCGCGCTGAGCCCCCACACCCCCGGCGCGGCGTCTTGCAATCCCCGGTACGTCCGCACCTCCCCGCCGCATTCTTGATGCGCGATCTCGAACACGAACTCGCCCGTCGTCGCGTCGACGGCGCCGCTCAGCGTGAACGGCCCCGACGCGTCTGTCCCGCGGCCGGCGACGACGCCGACGGCGCCCGCGGCGAACCCCTCGCGTCGTCTCGCGTCCGCGTCCGCGTCCGCGTCCGCGTCCAATTCGGTGTACTCCAAGTACATCACCTGCCCGTCCGGGTGCACGAGGTCGCCGCTCGAGAAGTACTCGTGGAGGGTGTACGTCCCGGGCGGGAGCGGGCGCGATTTCGTCGCGTCGATCCCGCGCGGCTCGCCGACGACCACCTCCGGCGGCGCGACGAAATCGCCGCCGACGCCGACGCCCGCGCCGCCGGCGCGATCGATCGACTCCAACCCGCGCTCGAACGGCGACTCCACGCTCAGGAATATCCGCGTCGCCTCCGTTCGAACGCCCACGCACGTGGACGTCAGCAGAGGCATGAGGAGCGTCAGCAGCGCGCCGCCGACGCGCTCGGCGACGCCCTTCATCACCGCCGCCCGCGCCGGCCGGCCTGGTAGTTGGGGTGGCGTTGAAAGGCGTCAGAAGCGGAGTTGAAAGGCGTCGAGGTGTGTCGGGATTGAAAGCGAGGGACCCTGGGCGGAGAGACACGCCGGGAAAAGTCCTTAAGGAACGGCGTTCACCACGCCGACGCGGTCGTGTGGGGACCAGTGTATACCTGGGGTCTCTCTGTCGCCGTGGAGCACATTGGCGAGCGCGCAACACGCTTGTTCCACGAGGTTGGCGCTCTCGTTCCCGTCGATCAGCGCGCGCAAGCTCTTCACGCCGTCGCACGCGATGAGCTCCGATTTCCTTCCCCCGACGTCGCCCACGCAGTCCGTGCACACCGCGGCGTATCGCATCGCGAGGAAGAGCTCGTATCGATGCTGAGGATCGTTCCATACGAGCAAACGTCGGGGTGGAGTTGAAAGGCGTCAGTTGGAGTTGAAAGGCATCGAGGTCGGGGATTGAAATCGTGTCGTGGGCGGAGAGACACGCCGGCAAAAGTCCTTAAGGAACGGCGTTCACCACGCCGACGCGGTCGTATGGGGACCAGTGTATAGAACGCACCCGCCTGCCGCTGACGTCCGAGGGATGCCCGCGCGCCTTGAGCCATCGCAGCGTCTCCATCGTCTGCTTCCATCCGAGATGCCGGTCGCGATACACCGCGCGCCACCCGCCGCCGCACCCCGCGCCGCCGTCCCACGCGCACGCGTCGCCGTCGCCCCACCTCCGCGCGAGGTCGTCGAAGACCTCGTCCTGGAAGTGCTCGATCACGCCGAGGCGCGACTCGACGCACGGGACGTCGGAGGGCGACGCGTGGTAGACGCCCCACTCGGCGCGGCACAGGCGCTCCCAGCCGTCCTCGAGCGCGCCGCCGACGAGGAGGGGTTGGGGGCGTCGTCGAGACGGCGCGGAGGACGCGGACGTCGACGCGGACGTCGACGCGTCCTCGCGGCGGCGGCCTCGGTCGTCGGATAGATCGGAGTCGAACAGATCGGAGTCGTCGGAGTCGTCAGAGTCGGAATCGGACATCGCCGCCCGTCCCGCGTTCGGCGGCAGCGCGATCTTCCGAAGCTGCCGGCACACGCACGCGATCGCGGCGTACGACCGCGCGTCCGGCGCGGACAGCAGCACGCGCGCGATGAGGTCCTCGCCTAGGTCGTCCCACCTCGCGCGGTTCCGCTCCTCGCGTCTCGCCGCCTCTTCGGCGGCGAGCTCGGCGTCCTCGACGCGCTTCTTCTCCGCCGCCGCCTCGCGTCGCGTCTCCGCGTCGAGTCTCATCGCCGCGACGCGCGCGTGGATCTCGCTCACGAGCTGGACGTTCCGTCGGAGCTCGTTCATGGCGCGCGGCGGCGGGCGAGGCGCGCGCGGCCTCGCCCCTCGCCGCCGATGGGCGCGCCGCTGCACTGATTGAGGAGATCGGCGGACACGTCACGTCGATTTTTCCCGGGAAAAAAATCTGCGCGCGCGCGCTGCGCTGCGTTTGAAAACCGAAAGGACGGCGGGCCGCGGAGGGTCACATCGCCGCGCGCGTCTCGAACAACGATGCCCGGCTCGCTCGCGCGCGCGCTCGGGGGCGCCCCCGCGTCTCTTCTCCGCGCGCCGCTCGCGGCGCGCCGCCGCCGACCACCGCAGCGCGCGCGTCGCCGCGCCGCCGTCGTCGCCCCCTCGGCGTCCTCCAAAAACGACGACGCCGACGCCGCCGACGAGTCGTCGTCGCCGGAGCTCGACATGGGATCCCTGAGCCGCCGCGTCGCGGAGATAAAAGCCCTCGAGGACGCGAACCAGGCCAACCTCCGCGTCCTAGTCCTCGACGCGACCCTCCCCGGGCAGCGCCTGAGCCTGCGCTTCGACGCCAAGGACACGCGCCGTCGCCTCGGCCTCGGCACCGAGCTCGGCGTCGGCGCGGCCGTCGGCGACACGTACGCCATGCTCGGCCAGGCGCCGGCGTCCGGGCAAGTCCTCCCGCTCGGCACGGAGGTGAAGCTGACGCGCGTGGACCCGCTCCCGGACGGCAGCGGCGACGTCGAGGTCGAGATGGTGGGCGTCAGGCGCCTGCGCATCGAGGGGCAGCCGTTCGACGAGAACGGCGTCGCGATGGCAAAGGTGACGTACATGAGATTCGCGCCCGAGGAGACGCCGCCGCTGCCGCGCGATAACGAGAGCGTCGCGCCGACGTCGCCGCGCCCGATCGAGGGCGGCGGCGCGCCGGGCTCGGGATCCTACGACGAGTCGGACGACCCGGAGAAGGCGGAGCTCGAGACGACGCGGATGTCGGACGAGCTCGAATCGCTCGTCGACGAGGCGCGTCCCGTCTCGCACTGGTCCCCATGCGACCCCGTTCGCGTGGTGAACGCCGTTCCTTAAGGACTTTTGCGGGCGTCTCTCTCCGCCCACCCCCGGCTGCTTTCAATCCCGACACGCCTCGCCGCCCCGCCTTTCGACGCCGCCTGACGCCTATCGACGCCGCCCACCCCGACTTCTCGACCGCAGTGGACCGTCCTCGTGCGCACGGGCGGACGCGAACGCGTCCCCGGACAGCTCGAGCTCATCGCGTCGCACTTGGGCCCCATGCCCGCGCGCGCGTCCAAGGCGAGACGCGCCGCGTGGGTCGCCGCGCTCATCAACCCGATCCCCGCGCTGGGCGTGGCGTACGAGATACGCCCCGCGCTGCTCATGGCGAGGGACACGAGAGGGATGCTGAAGGTGCGTTCTATACACTGGTTCCCATATGACCGCGTCGGCGTGGTGAACGCCATTCCTTAAGGACTTTTGCCGGCGCATCTCTCCGCCCACCCATCGCTTTCAACGCCCGCCCTCGACGCCTTTCAACTCCATCTGACGCCTTTGAACTCCACCCCGACATTCGCTCGTATGGAACGACCCTAAGGTGGCGACGGATGGCATAAAGACGTCCATCGAGCGGCTGCGGAAGGACGCGCTCGAGGACCAGCTCGAGGGGTCGAAGTGAGGGCGTCGGGCGTCGACGTTGTACGATTATGATTGTGTACGAATAGTAGTAGCGCGGCGGCGCCTTCGAGCGAGGGCGCCCCGGGAGACGGAGACTGGAAGAGTTTTTTTCGCTCGGTGTAATAACAGAACAAACGTTTTGTTTTTTTTGATACGCTCGCTCTCGCCCGCGTCGCGATTCTACTCCTGCATGATGTCGAACTTCTCGAACGACGCCTTCATCGCCGCTGCGCGCGCCGTCTCTCTCTCCTCCGTCTCCAGACACTCCTGCCACGACGTCCGCTCCGGGCACCCGAGCAGGTGCCCGAGCACCTCCCTCCCGAAACTCATCCAGTGCGGCTCGCCTCTCCCGATCTTACGGACGAGAATGCTCCCGTCCGGAAGGTGCACGGCGTAGTACTCTCCGTCGCCGACGTGCTCTAACAGCGCCGCCTGCGCGTCCATCGCGCTCTCGGGCTTCGGGATCGAGCACCACTCGAAGTTGAGCTTCTTCGCCGCCTGCTCGAAAATCTTCTTCGCTTTCCCCGACCGCGCCCTCGGCACCGGGACGACGTTCACGTGGCAGTGGTTCCCCCCCTTCGAACGCAACGCGAGGTGCCGCTCGAAAACGACGACATCTCGGCCGTTATCAGTCCCGTCCTCGCCCCCGCTCGGCGGGTCGCCGCCGCCGCCCGCGGCGAAACACTTCCGCAGCGCGTCGAGATATCTCCACATCTCCTCCGCGGCGGATGGCGCCATCGCCGCGAAGGACGGCGCGTGCTCGATCGGCACGATCTGGCAGTGATCCGCGACGACGCCAGCCTTGTCCATGCTCACGAAACTCTCCGACGCGATGGACGCGACGAGGTGCGTGTCCTTTTCGTTGGATAAGCAGAACCAGCAGCCCTGCGGCGGCGGCGGCGGCGGTCGGTTCGCGCGCCGCGCGTCGCGTTCCGCGTTTCGCTCCTCCTCGCTCTTCGCCATCTGGACGACGATGTCTCTTCCGTAGAAGCTCGTGTCGCTCAGCTGCAGCGCCTTCTCCGCGCCGTCGACGGTCTTGTACGCGACGTGGCAGAACCCGCGGATCCGCCCGTCGTCGCCGCGCCCCAACCGCAAGTCCACGAGCTCGCCGCACTGCCCGAAAAACTCCGCGAGCGCGCCCTCGTCCGCTCGGTACGCCTACAAAGCGATGTCGGGGTGGAGTTCAAAGGCGTCAGATGGCGTTCAAAGGCGTCGAGGTCGGGGATTGAAAGCGAGGGGTGGGCGGAGAGATGCGCCGGCAAAACTCCTCAAGGATCGGCGTTCACCACGCCAACGCGGTCGTATGTGGACCAGTGTATAGAACGCACCAGGTTCCGAACGTACACCGTCTTGTCCGTGTCCCCCTGGAGCGGCCGTCGATCTATGTTCGCCGCGAGCCGCGCGCGCTTCGCCTTGGGCTCCTCCCAACGCAGCGACGCGTGATCGAACGCCGCGTCCTGCGCCGCGAGCGCCGCGCCCTTCGCCGCCATCGAGCCCGGCGGCGGCGGCGGCGCGTCGTACGGCGAGCGGGTGGCGTCCGGCGGTTGCACGCGGAGGCTCGAGGGGGGCATCACGCGCGCGGGGACGAGGCCGAGCGCGTGCAGCCACTTGTGCTTCGCGTCGTTGCGCACGGGCGCGAGCGCGAGGAACCGCGTGACGTGCATCGCGCGCTGGTTTTTATACGGCTCGCGCGCGTAAAAGACCTTCGACGGGCAGCCGACGGCGGCGCCGCACGCGTGATATCGCGGCTGTAAATCTCTCGCGAGGTCCGCGACGACGGCGCTGCCCGCGGCGGACGCCGCGACGACGTCCGGCGTCGTCGCGTCCCTCGAGCGCAGCTCCACGCCCTTGGGCCAGGAGGTGGTCAGGAACAGGTCGATCGCGTCCGCGTTCTCGCCGCCGTTCGCGCCGCCCGGAGGCGCGGCGTCGCGAAACGCCGACGCGCGCAATTTACTCACGTCATCCATCGTGAACTCGCCCTCCGCGGCAGCCGCGCTCGCGGCCATCGCGCTCGCGTCCTCGAACGCCATCTTGTTGTACTTCCCCGGGAGCACCGCGACGCGCAGGCCGTGCAGGTCGTGCACGCCGGGGCGGCAGAGCCAGCGAACGTTCGGCGCGACCTCGATCGAATCGGCCCCCTTCTGTGCGGCGGACGTCTCGCCCTTGACGAACTCCCTCCCGCGCGGCAGCGCGTCGACGAAGTACGTCGGCATCGGCGCCGCGGACGTCCCGTCCACGTACGGTCTGAGCTCGTCGTTGTTCGGTTTCGCCGTGGACGCGCCGCCGTCCGCCGATCCCGCGTCGTCTTCGACGCCGCCGCCGAAGAATCGACCGACGCACACGCACAGATCGAACGGCCCAGCCTGGCTGTCGTTCACCGCGCCGACGCGCTTGAAGAGATCGTCGAAGTTGCCCTCGACGTCGCCCGCGATGAGCACCTTCACCGGCTTCGCGTCGTCCGCCATCGCGATCGCGCGGGCGGGCGGCGGGCGGCCTTCCTCGAGCGCTCGCGACGCTGTGATGAAGCGCGATCGAATCGTGCTGCACCATCACCGCGATTCCGTACAAACGAGCAGTTCATCGGTCAGTTGAAAGGAGACGCCATCAAATGTTGAAACCGGGGGATGAGTGAAAAACGTTTGTTTCAACGCCATAAAACTGTCCGCCGGTCTTCCGACAAAGTCGTCGCAACCCCGCTCGGGGGCGCGTCACTTCGCTCGACGCGCACGGCCCGCACCCGCCCGCGTCGGACGTCCGCGCGCGAAGAGGCACGCGAACCCCTCCCCCCGCCCGCGCGCGTGAGCCCGTCGACCGCGCGGAGGAAAGACAGCGCGCGCCGCGGAGGAGCGATCTCGCGGTCGAATCGACTTCTCGGAGATCGAGCGGCTCGGAAGCGCGCGAACGAAAGAAGAGGCGAGGACGTCGGCGATCGTCATGACGCGCGACGAGACGGACTACCTCGGCGAGCTCCTGAGGGGAGACGCGCTCCCGACGCCGACGCCGACGCCGATGAACGCGCGCGGGAGGAAATCGTCGAACGCCACCGCGGGCGCGAGCGCGGTGCGTCGTCGCGCCGCTCGGAGACCGCGATCGATCGTCCCGCGCGCGTCGACGACGACGACGCGGCCCTTTTTTTTCCTCGAGCTTCTTTCGTCGAATCAGCCGCGCGCCCCGCCCGCCCGCTCGTCGCTGACGACTTCTCTCGCTCTCGCTCTCCCCCACGAAACAGCGACGTCGCGGCGCTAACGCGACGAGCGCGCGCGGAGCGCCGTCGTCGTCGCAAGGCAGCGACGCGTCCGGAAGCAGCCGGTGCGTCCTCCCCGCCGATCGATCGTCGCCGATCGACCCGACCCTCCGCCGCCCGCGGCTTCTTCCGTTCGACGATTCGACGTTTCTTCTCTGACGAAACCCATTCTTCGAAACCCTCGAATTCCTGCCCCTCCCCCCCCACCCCCTCCGNGNGACCACNGAGGATGCTCGGACGACTCCAGCGCGTCGAAAGGCACGCGCGGGCCGGGCACGCCCCCGCACGGGGCGACGCAGACGCCGGGCGGCGGCGGCGGGGCGACGCCGACGTCGCCGGGCGCCCCCCCCCCGACGACGCGCGACCACCACGACGGCGACGAATTATTATTCGGCCCGCCCGACCTGGAAGCCGCGGGCAAGCTGGAAGGGGTCGGGGACCCGGACGAATTAGCGGTCGCAGACGCGGTCATCGACGACGTCGCGGGGGAAATCCTCTTCGGGGACGGGGGGATGCTCGGCGACCCGGGGGGGGGCGCGCCGGGGCCGGGGTCGGGGGCGAACGGGAACGGGGGGGATGGGGGGAACGGGGGCAACGGGGGGAACGGGGGCGGCGAGGAGGAGGACCAGGAGAA